TGACACGACTTGCGTCGCAAAAATGTGGTCGACACTGGTTTTGAGGGTAGAGACCCGTGGGCCGTTTATTAAATGAGCGACAACAGATTATGTTAACAAAAATAAAACAAACCGAAAAGATAAACACAGTAATAATAATCTTCGCATAATATCGCGGCACTTTCGCTGGCGTCGACGACGCGATGTTCGGCGTAATCCTTGGACGGCAAAATGGTTAGCAGCGTTGTAGGCGACGGTGCGCGGGTGCGGTTCGGCTGTCGACGTTGTCGCTTTCACAGCGGGAGGAAGACTCTCGCACCATTTGCGGCGGGTCGTCGTCGGCCGTGCGGCATTTGCTGGACTTTGCACCGTAGCGTATAACACGCGGTGTTGGTCAGTCAAATACTCATAGTAGGGCGACGGCTGATAAAGGTGGCACGAGTCGCAGGGCATCGTGTATAACGAAGCGACGCGGGCCGTGTCAAATACCCCCCCGCCAAGCCGCCGGTCTACTTAAGGAAGGCCGGGAAGGCAATCGCGTATAGCAGTGAATGCCGCCAAACTCACGTTGTCTGTGGGTGATCTAAGGGGTGAGTGCGTGTATTCCATTTTCATGGTTTTCTCCGCTGGTCGCTGTTTCACCGCTGCTAATTAAGATGTTGCTACCGGTACTGTGTTGTTGCTGCCGTTATTGTTATTGCCGCTACTGTGTTGTTGCTGCTGTTATTGTTGTTGCCGCTACTTTGTTGTTAAAAACGATGTCTCCTCCATGTTTGATGCTAAGGGTGGTGGTGCTGTTCTCGGGCTGGCACTAGTAAAGTGAGTGATGTGTGTTCAATAAGCGTTGTGCGTCCCACCGTGTCATTAAAAACGTAGCGCAGTTTTTCACTATCTGTGATGATAGTTCGCGCGTGTGTGGGTCGCCTGCTATAACATCGGGTAGCGTGTGTCGAGTACTCGCTTTCCAATAAGCTGTCGTGCGTCGCGTCGCGCCCAAGTGAATTGTACCTGCAGCGTAATCCCAGGAGACTTCCTGTTCTGTTAGAAAGTCGTGTCCCAGGAGTACGTCACAGTACAGATTTTCTAAGATAACAGCTGTGAACTTTACTTGTAGATCTGCAATTTTTGTTATAAAGGTAGCTGTGCCGGCCGTGTCTGTTGTGTGGCCGTCAGCTAACCTAACTGGGGGTGTTTGTCCGTTGTGCACAATTCCAAATTTGTGAGCTGTTGCTCGAGTGGTATACGATTTTTGCGCTTGAGAGTCAAGTAAGGCCGTCACAAAGCCGTTGTCAAATTCCAGCTCCACAGCGGGAGTAGTAATTTTACGCGGGCGTGTTTACTTACGGCAATACTCAGGTGGTTAGCGGTTCGAACGGGGAGCGTTGAAACGGTTTGTTCGCCGGCAGTATTAATTGCCATAAGCGGGTAGGCCGTTCCTGCTGTATTCCCCTCCCCCACGGTGACCAACATATCGTTGGCCCGACTCGCGCTATAGTCGTTACCTATTACGTCTACGAACGTGTGACAAGTATTTTAAATAACCTTATTGTCCTCATTGTAGATGAGGGGTGTGGTGGTGGTGAGTGTGGTGCTACAGCGTGCCCACTATAATGACAGTGGGGCTGTAGGGGTGTTGGTGAAGGTGGTGTGATAGTAGTATGGTTGATAGTAAGGTTATTTAAAATAGTATCATTTTGATCGAAGAAAGCGCATCCGTTTTTGTTACCGACGATGATTGACCGTGCGATTTAGTCGGCGCGCTGATTAGTTCGATATTGTTTTGAGCGGAATTGTGTTTGTTTGCAAAACTCGGGTGGTATATGACTTTTGCGCTTGTGAGTCAAGTAATGCCGTCACAAAACCGTTGTAAAATTCAAGTTCCACAGCGGGAGTTGTAATTTTACGCGGGCGTGTTTGTTTGGCAAAACTCGTGTGGTTTACGGTTCGAACGGGGAGCGTCTGAACGGTTTGTCCGCCGGCGGTGTCAATCGCCATAAGCGGGTAGGCCGTCTCGGTTGGTATCCCCTCCCTCACGGTGGACAACACGTCGTTGGCCCGACTCGCGCTATAGTCGTATAACACGGGGACATTTGTTTTCTCGGCCGTATGACTGATTTTTTTAAAGACCTTGAGGACCGCATTGTGCCTCTCACTGTGGGTGGGGGGTGCGGTGAGTGAATTTAAAGGGGCTACAGCTTGTCCTGCGTTGTGAACGAAGGGCTGTAGTCAAGGTTGAGGGCCCGGTGAATGGGCGAGGTGAAGTGAAGGGTCGTTAAAAAAAATTCGTCATTTTGGCCGAGAGCTACGCGCTCGATTTTGCTAAAGGCGACGAACGAACTGGTTGTTCGCGCTGCGCGTTGTTAAATTGCAATTTAGATTTGAATGGGATTGTGATTGTGGGCCAGCTTAACTGTCGGTGCTTTTCCAGTCATAGTGTACGTTATTGACCGTATTTTAATCGAATTAACCAAAAATGAAAAGTACAAGTGGTAGTTTGTTTTTGTTATTCGGAAATACGATATCAACAATCGCGACAATACGCGCTTTGCGTTCGTGTATGAACGTTAACAATGCTGGCCGTTTGTATTATTATTGTTATTGCTAAGATAGTGTACTGATAAAGCACTATGACAGTGAATTGTACCTGGGAATGTGAATGCAATGATGGTAATCGTAATCTTTATGATCGTGACAACACAATTAATAATACAAACGGTTTTATGGGACCCGGTTGTCAAATGTAACGATCGTTGTGGTATGATAATGTGTATGATCACCCTACCAGCCTAGCGCTTTTATCGAAACACTGAAATGGATGTGTTCGCGGCATTGTGCGACTCAAGGTGCGCGTGTATGTATAAATACAAAATCGCCAGAAATACACTTTTACCGTGTTTAAAAATACACCGAAAGTGGAAATATACTATTCGCGAGGTAGATAGTATCTAAATAACCGGGTGGGAAATCCACTGCTGTCACCAGTGAACTGTGTGATTGAAATAATTTGGAGAAAAGTGAATGTAAAGGAAACCTAGCTGTCTTATTTGAAAAATAAAAATAAAGTCAGCAACTGGTTTTCTTACCTTAATCCAATTTAAGACCGGTTGAGATCCTTACCGGGGAGCTAGTTAACAAGACTTACGTCGCAAAAATGTGGTCGACACTGGTTTTGAGGGTAGAGACCCGTGGCCGTTTATTAAATGAGCGACAACACATTATTTTAATAAAAATAAACAAACCGAAAAGATAAACACAGTAATAATAATCTTCGCATAATATCGTGGCACTTTCGCTGGCGTCGACGACGCGATGTCCGGCGTAATCCTTAGACGGCAAAATGTTTAGCAGCGTTGTAGGCGACGGTGCGCAGGTGCGGTTCGGTTGTCGACGTTGTCGCTTTCACAACGGGAGGCAGACTCCTGCACCATTTGCAGCGGGTCGTCGTCGGCCGTGCGGCATTAGCTGGACTTTGCACCGTAGCGTATAACAAAAGGTGTTGGTCAGTCTAATACTCATAGTAGGGCGACGGCTGATAAAGGTGGCACGAGTCGCAGGGCATCGTGTATAACGAAGCGACGCGGGCCGTGTCAACTGGACACAACTATGCCACGACCCCACTGTGCTGTTGTTTTGAATCTAAGAAATACTAATCTGAATATAATTAAAGAAATAGAAATTGATGTTGCTTTTGTAATTATCCACCAATTTCTTAGAATAAAAAACTTAAACAGTAGAGAATATAATAGTAGAATTTAAGATCTTAAATAATAGTTAATATCTGTTCATTTAACTGTATTGACTCTTAGATCGTAATGGAGTTGGTTATATGAAACACACCAAGGAACTTCAATGAAAATACATTGTACAATCTTTTTATTTTATGTCATTAAATATATTCAACTTGAAAAATTCAACAAAATTATTAATTTTAAATCCAAATTCTTAACATTATCAATATCTTAATAAGTGAAATATAAAATAAAATAAACTTTTTATTCGAAAATAACAAAATGTTAGTAATTATTTTTTTAAAATAATTGATCAAAATAGATGAATAATTTTTTTATTAGATATAGTTAAATGAATACAAATTGCACAATTCTACAATATTATTAATTTTTAATTCATATTCTGAAAAATAATATCTTTAGTTATTTCTTTCATTCATTCAGCTGGTTTTTTTATTTAACGATGTTTACTGTAATTTTGTTGATGAAAGATCATTTGTACTATTATTTTTCTAATTATTATTTTTATTATTTTTTTTTTTTTATTTTCTCATTTTATGTAATTGTTAAGCTATAATAATACTTTGTATTGAAAGCCAATAAAAAATAACAATATTTTATTAAGTGAAATATAAATTAAGAATAATTTTTTATTCGAAAATAACAAATTGTTAGTAATGTAGTTCTAACCAGTTGCAGTACCACTGCTAACACCTATACCTAATAAAAAATTATTTGTTTTTTAATTACATATTGTTAAATGAATACAAATTGCACAATTCTACAGTAGTATTAATTTTTAATTCATATTCTTAAAAATAAAAATATCTTAATAAGTGAAATATTAATTTAGACAAATTTTTTATTCGAAAATAACAAATTGTTAGTAATTTATTACATACCAGTTGAAGTACCACGACGATCATATTCGCCTAAAAATAAATGATTAATTTATTTATTACATATCCTTAAATAATTGAAATTGAAAATTCAACAAAATTAATAAGTTATATACAAATTACAAAATTATCAATATTTAAATATGATAAATTTATAATAAAATAAACTTTTTATTCGAAAATAACAAATTGTTAGTAATGTATTTCTTACCAGTTACAGTACCACTAATAACACCTATACCTAACAAAAAATGATTTTTTTTTTTATTACATATTGTTAAATGAATACAATTTGCACAATTCTACAATAGTATTAATTTTTAATTTATATTCTTAAAAATAACAATATTTTAATAAATGATATATAAATTAAGAAAAATTTTTTATTCGAAAATAACAAATTGTTAGTAATTTATTTCTTACCAGTTGAAGTACCACGACGATCACATGCGCCTTAAAATAGATGATTAATTTTTATATTACACGTGTAAAATAAATGAAAAGTGAAGAATTCAACAAAATTATTAATTTTTAAACCATATTATTAAAATTATCAATATTTTAATATGATAAATTCAAAATAAAATAAACTTAATATTTGAAAATAACAAATTGTTAGTAATTTATTTTTTACCAGTTGAAGTACCACTGCTAATTCCTGTACCTAAACAAAAATGATTTGTTTTTTTATTACTTATCGTTAACTGAATACAAATTGCACAATTCTACAGTAGTATTAATTTTTAATTCATATTCTTAAAAATAAAAATATCTTAATAAGTGAAATATTAATTTAGAAAAATTTTTTATTCGAAAATAACAAATTATTATTAATTTATTTCATACCAGTTGAAGTACCACGACGATCACATGCGCCTTAAAATAGATGATTAATTTTTATATTACACGTGTAAAATAAATGAAAAGTGAAGAATTCAACAAAATTATTAATTTTTAAACCATATTATTAAAATTATCAATATTTTAATATGATAAATTCAAAATAAAATAAACTTAATATTTGAAAATAACAAATTGTTAGTAATTTATTTTTTACCAGTTGAAGTACCACTGCTAATTCCTGTACCTAAACAAAAATGATTTGTTTTTTTATTACTTATCGTTAACTGAATACAAATTGCACAATTCTACAGTAGTATTAATTTTTAATTCATATTCTTAAAAATAAAAATATCTTAATAAGTGAAATATTAATTTAGACAAATTTTTTATTCGAAAATAACAAATTGTTAGTAATTTATTACATACCAGTTGAAGTACCACGACGATCATATTCGCCTAAAAATAAATGATTAATTTATTTATTACATATCCTTAAATAATTGAAATTGAAAATTCAACAAAATTAATAAGTTATATACAAATTACAAAATTATCAATATTTAAATATGATAAATTTATAATAAAATAAACTTTTTATTCGAAAATAACAAATTGTTAGTAATGTATTTCTTACCAGTTACAGTACCACTAATAACACCTATACCTAACAAAAAATGATTTTTTTTTTTATTACATATTGTTAAATGAATACAATTTGCACAATTCTACAATAGTATTAATTTTTAATTCATATTCTTAAAAATAACAATATTTTAATAAATGATATATAAATTAAGAAAAATTTTTTATTCGAAAATAACAAATTGTTATTAATTTATTTCTTACCAGTTGAAGTACCACGACGATCACATGCGCCTTAAAATAGATGATTAATTTTTATATTACACGTGTAAAATAAATGAAAAGTGAAGAATTCAACAAAATTATTAATTTTTAAACCATATTATTAAAATTATCAATATTTTAATATGATAAATTCAAAATAAAATAAACTTAATATTTGAAAATAACAAATTGTTAGTAATTTATTTTTTACCAGTTGAAGTACCACTGCTAATTCCTGTACCTAAACAAAAATTATTTGTTTTTTAATTACATATTGTTAAATGAATACAAATTGCACAATTCTACAGTAGTATTAATTTTTAATTCATATTCTTAAAAATAAAAATATCTTAATAAGTGAAATATTAATTTAGACAAATTTTTTATTCGAAAATAACAAATTGTTAGTAATTTATTACATACCAGTTGAAGTACCACGACGATCATATTCGCCTAAAAATAAATGATTAATTTATTTATTACATATCCTTAAATAATTGAAATTGAAAATTCAACAAAATTAATAAGTTATATACAAATTACAAAATTATCAATATTTAAATATGATAAATTTATAATAAAATAAACTTTTTATTCGAAAATAACAAATTGTTAGTAATGTATTTCTTACCAGTTACAGTACCACTAATAACACCTATACCTAACAAAAAATGATTTTTTTTTTTATTACATATTGTTAAATGAATACAATTTGCACAATTCTACAATAGTATTAATTTTTAATTTATATTCTTAAAAATAACAATATTTTAATAAATGATATATAAATTAAGAAAAATTTTTTATTCGAAAATAACAAATTGTTAGTAATTTATTTCTTACCAGTTGAAGTACCACGACGATCACATGCGCCTTAAAATAGATGATTAATTTTTATATTACACGTGTAAAATAAATGAAAAGTGAAGAATTCAACAAAATTATTAATTTTTAAACCATATTATTAAAATTATCAATATTTTAATATGATAAATTCAAAATAAAATAAACTTAATATTTGAAAATAACAAATTGTTAGTAATTTATTTTTTACCAGTTGAAGTACCACTGCTAATTCCTGTACCTAAACAAAAATTATTTGTTTTTTAATTACATATTGTTAAATGAATACAAATTGCACAATTCTACAGTAGTATTAATTTTTAATTCATATTCTTAAAAATAAAAATATCTTAATAAGTGAAATATTAATTTAGACAAATTTTTTATTCGAAAATAACAAATTGTTAGTAATTTATTACATACCAGTTGAAGTACCACGACGATCATATTCGCCTAAAAATAAATGATTAATTTATTTATTACATATCCTTAAATAATTGAAATTGAAAATTCAACAAAATTAATAAGTTATATACAAATTACAAAATTATCAATATTTAAATATGATAAATTTATAATAAAATAAACTTTTTATTCGAAAATAACAAATTGTTAGTAATGTATTTCTTACCAGTTACAGTACCACTAATAACACCTATACCTAACAAAAAATGATTTTTTTTTTTATTACATATTGTTAAATGAATACAATTTGCACAATTCTACAATAGTATTAATTTTTAATTCATATTCTTAAAAATAACAATATTTTAATAAATGATATATAAATTAAGAAAAATTTTTTATTCGAAAATAACAAATTGTTATTAATTTATTTCTTACCAGTTGAAGTACCACGACGATCACATGCGCCTTAAAATAGATGATTAATTTTTATATTACACGTGTAAAATAAATGAAAAGTGAAGAATTCAACAAAATTATTAATTTTTAAACCATATTATTAAAATTATCAATATTTTAATATGATAAATTCAAAATAAAATAAACTTAATATTTGAAAATAACAAATTGTTAGTAATTTATTTTTTACCAGTTGAAGTACCACTGCTAATTCCTGTACCTAAACAAAAATGATTTGTTTTTTTATTACTTATCGTTAACTGAATACAAATTGCACAATTCTAAAATATAATTTTGATTTAAATTTAAATTACTAATATTTTGAACATTTTATTAAGTGAAATATAAATTAAGAAAAATTTTTTATTCGAATATAACAAATTGTTAGTAATTTATTTCTTACCAGTTGAAGTACCACGACGATCACATGCGCCTTAAAATAGATGATTAATTTTTATATTACACGTGTAAAATAAATGAAAAGTGAAGAATTCAACAAAATTATTAATTTTTAAACCATATTATTAAAATTATCAATATTTTAATATGATAAATTCAAAATAAAATAAACTTAATATTTGAAAATAACAAATTGTTAGTAATTTATTTTTTACCAGTTGAAGTACCACTGCTAATTCCTGTACCTAAACATAAATGATTTGTTTTTTTATTACTTATCGTTAACTGAATACAAATTGCACAATTCTAAAATATAATTTTGATTTAAATTTAAATTACTAATATTTTGAACATCTTATTAAGTGAAATATAAATTAAGAATAATTTTTTATTCGAAAATAACAAATTGTTAGTAATGTATTTCTTACCAGTTACAGTACCACTGCTAACACCTATACCTAACCAAAAATGATTTTGTTTTTTATTAAATTTTGTTAAATGAATACAAATTGCACAATTCTACAATAATATTAATTTTTAATTCATATTCTTAAAAATAAAAATATCTTAATAAGTGAAATATTAATTTAGAAAAATTTTTTATTCGAAAATAACAAATTGTTACTAATTTATTTCATACCAGTTGAAGTACCACGACGATCACATTCGCCTAAAAATAAATGATTAATTTTTTTATTACATATCGTTAAATAATTGAAATTGAAAAATCCAATAAAATTAATAAGTTAAATACAAATTACAAAATTATCAATATTTAAATATGATAAATTTATAATAAAATAAACTTTTTATTCGAAAATAACAAATTGTTAGTAATGTATTTCTTACCAGTTACAGTACCACTGCTAACACCTATACCTAAACAAACATGATAAGGTTTTTATGATATATCTTAAAATGAATTAAAATTGCACAATTCAATAATTTTATTAATTTTAAATTAAAATTGTTAACATTATTAATATTTTAGAAGTGAAATATAAATTAAAATAAACTTTTAATTCAAAATTGACAAAATTATACTAATTTATTTCTTACCAAATGAAGTACCACTGATATCATTTTTACCTAAACAAAAATGATCAGTCTTTTTATTATTTTTCATTAAATATAGTCTAATTGAAAAATTAAACAAAATCATTAATTTTAGAGTAATGATATTAACATTATTAATATCTTAATAAGTGAAAATTAAAATAGAATAAAGTTATTATTCAAAAATAACAAAATGTTAGTAAAGAAGAGTAAAATAGTGGTTTCTAGGCCCTCTAGGAATCCTCAATTTTTAAAAATGTCTTTTTCAAGTGATGGGGAGGGGTGTAGTCAGTGTCATACAGAGGTCGTGATCTCTAGATGGTGCGACAAAGGGGTGGGCGTGGTCTTATAATCGAGGAGTAAAGGGGAGGCGTGATCTTATCATTGAGGTGGTAAAGAGTGTCGTAGTCTAGTGTTAAGTTCGGGGTTTTATGGTCATTCAAAGGGGCGGTTATAAACTATAGTGTGCATGCGCACTATATTTTTATGTCAGCGGTGGGGAAGGTAACCATTCAAAAATAGTTGTTTTCCTCCTACGGTGTTATTTACTGGAGAATAAGGTAAATCTCATGTTTACTAATAACGGTAACTGAATTACGTACGTTTAAATGTACGCATTACATTGAAATAGTGTACGTCAAGTAGCGCCCGCCACGATCATAAGTGTCCTTGACTATTCTTAAAACATATTTATTTAATATTAACGCTACATTGGTGTCTGTCAACAATTCCTAAAGAGGGAGGGGGTATTGAAACTTGACATAAATTAACCTAATGGGAGAGGTGGGGATGAATCCAACTTAAACTAACAACGTTTTCTATGAATGTTATTATTGCCTATCAGACGCTTAGGTAAGCATATTTCCAATATCAAAGATGTCGCCGCACAGTAATAATCACTGCTGTAATTCATTTTATGAGATTAATGACAATGTCTGTTGTTATGGCATTATAATTTCTAAAAATTTTATCCTCGACTTCCAGATGTTAAGGTCAGCATATTTCCAACAACAAAAGTAGCGCCATATTATAACGTTAATAGGTCAGCATTTTAATTTTTACATAGTACTTTATCATTGCTTCACAGATGCTTAGAAAACCATCTCTTATATATTAGTATATTACATTTAATTAAATATAATTAATATATTTACTATAATTGGTAATATATTTTTAGAATTAACTATGTGTATGTTCGTCGTTATCAGTTGCTATAATAGTATAATCGCTATTATTATTATTATTTTCTACTGCGCCTTTAAAATAATAATATGTGTATTGCATTTTATTTTATTATATTTAATTTGACATTTTTATTTTATACCTATAACTAGCGGTATTACATTTAAACAGGCACGTAGACAAGGGTGGGCCTGGGTGGGCCTGGCCCCACTTAAATTTAATGTGGCCCAGAGCCGGCCCCCCCAAATTTAAAATTCAATTATTTTTACGAATTATCAAAAACGTGCTAGGCCTTATATACATTGATGATTACTATTGAGTAATACAGTTATTATTATGGCTGTATTTTCATTTTTATATTCATAGACAACGTTATTTGAAAAAGATAACGTTCTAGACGTAATAATAAATGGAATAGCAATTACTCCAAACGTGGTTGTAGGTAAATTTTTTTTAACTCTGGTCTAACAAATGATAACAAACTACCAAGTATCTGCATTGATTAGAATCTAGTTGATTACAAAATTCGATAGAGTATACTCTATAAAAAATTTTTGATAAATCTTATCTTTAATTTTTTTCTTTTTTTATAATTTAGTAGTTACAATAGGTAATTTATTTGTTTTTGTTAATTTGTTATTTGCGTGCTCTAAATAATAGTAATTAAAATATGACTAAAAAAAGGCAGGAATTGTTTTTAATTTTAAATAAAATAAAATAAAATTTTACATTGTTTATAATTTATATTTATTTTAAAATTTTTTATAACTTAATTGTTATTAGTATTTAGGAATAAATTATTTTTTCTTAATAGCTTAAAAGTTGAAAAATTAAATCAGCTTATGTTCATATCATTATTTTATTAGCTTCGATGCAAAGCTGAGAAGGTATTATTTTTACTATGGTGTGTTTTTTTTTGTGTCTGTTACCACTTTTTCTCAGCTCTCACTGAACTCATTTCTTTCAGTAATACGTCAAAAGATCACAAATCGTATCTAGTCGAAGACATTACCCTCAAAAATTGCCATAACTTTTTTATAAAGATGTATGATATCGTTACTTTTCATTTGATATATTTTTTTTATAAATCTGACCCTTTACCTGCCCACGGGGGGGATTTAAAATGACAACTTTTTCACAAAAAATTAACTTTTTTCAATTAAATTTTAAAAATGTTCCGGAAAGTCTGACACTTTTATCTATATCTTAAATTAAAGCTAACGTAATGTACTATTTTATTTAAAAAAATTTCGGAGTTAATTTTGTCTTCACGGTGAAAATGGCTACCAAATGATAATTTTGTGTAAAAATTCTCGATTTTGTATTTTACATTTTTAACTTTATAATGCTATAACTTTTTGAAAAATGTATGGATCAGCACAATTTTTTTATGAGAAATAATATTTTTTAATAATCTCTTTTTCATTCGACATACTTTATCTTAATCAGGATATTAATAAGGAAATAGCAGATTATGTAACTTTTGGAATAATCCACCAATTTTCGAAAAATAAACACAAATTTTGAACTTGTAAGATTCATAGAATGGGATACTGTTTAAGAAGGAGTGGAGGGACCCCCCCCACAATCTTTTCATGGTAAACAAATTATGGAAAATGATACAAAGGCCCAAAATTGTTGGCCCCTCCAATAAACATTTTCTGGCTACGTGCCTGCATTTAAAGTCCCACTCCTACCACCAGCACCCACGAATCTTCACTGCGTTTAACATTAAATGTAAACATTACATTGAAATAGTGTACATCATGTAGCGGCCGCCGCCACCACACTTGTCCTTGACTATTCCTTGAACGACTTGTTAACAAACTCTATGATGTTATTGTTGGTTACAATTAAGTAATTGTCACCGTCGAGAACGTCCTACATACAATAGTTGGTAATAACACTTCGGTGATAAAACCTAGGTGGGTAAACCAAATCAAGTCAATTGGGTATGAGGTGCGCACAATGGGTGAAACCCAACGAAAACTAACCTAAATGGTAGGTACGCGTTAATCCTTGAACGTGCCTATAGTACGCGTTGAGTCCACGTGTTTGACGTGCCGTAGCCCTAAACGCAAAAGCTTTCTTCACTGCCCATGAGTACCTTGCTATATCGCATATATTGTTAAACGAACGCCGCCGCCCAGCCTCCGATAGTTTCTAACATCCTTTGTGTAGTATCTGAACCTGTTTAAACCAACCCAAACTTGTCTAAACAAGATCTTCGGCCTCTATAAAAGAACGTCACATTAATTTCAGACTCATTCACTTACTATCTTTTCTAAAACGATTATACCAAAAAACCATTTGTTTGATTATTTCTATTAGTTGTCCTTAAGAATTTCTGTGACTTGTTATCTTTTGATATAAAATAAAGTAAGTAATACATTTAGATATATTTTTCATTTAAACTGTTTTCTAATGACTTTGGTTACTAGTTTATGTTTAGAATTGTTTAAAACTTTATTAATTTTTTATTTTAGAATGTAACAATTAAAGAAACAGTTGAACGATCAGACTAAATTATAAAGATATTCAAAAATAAGTGATCTGGAGGAACACACGCCATACAAAGTCATATCTATGAAAAATACAAGCACACAAAATTGGGTTCTCGTTGTTGGTTGTCTATTCAACAATATAAATGTGTTTATCCCAAGATTAAAATTAACTAATGAAGAAATCGAAGCTTACAATATCAACAATGATGATAAAAAATTACATTTATTATATAGAGGCAAAAGTGAAAATGCATATTTGTTTGATTTTCAGTAATTTGTTAATATTTTTCCTTGTTTTTTAAACTTATTTATATTAAACAAAAAAAACGTCACATAAGTGTTTAATTGACGTTAACGCACAATTGATTATTTGAAAACTATAAATTTATTATTTTAATATTTTACACGCGCAAATAAAAAATCGTGAACTAGCAAACGTCTTATGTACCAGGTATGTAGATTTTTACGATTATTAACATTTTAATATCTCTTTAAGTTTATCACTCCTACTATTTTTATTTCCAATAAATAAATAATTCATTTTATTTTTTATTAAAGCTTCCTAGTTTACATCTGCTTCGTCACGTGTTTCGTTAGCCGTGTTTTGTGAGCGGGGGGAACGTTATACCTAAGGTATAAACGGCGGCAGGGGCGGTAGGAATATAAATATATATATATATACGTGAGGCACGGTATTGGTCAGTCAAAATAAAAATTTGTTTATATATATATATAAAATTTATGTCACGCACGCGTATACGGGTACGAAAACCAAAAATAAAATTATACAGGAAAATATTGTTATCGTCGAATGGTGAGCGGGGTGGGGAGAATGCGTTACGACAGTCTAGTCTCAAGGCTATAGACGACGGATACGCGAGAATAATATCACGTGGCGCTTGGAGATTTACAAACAACAAACACACAACCCACAACATACACGTGAAACTAATATAAGAGTGTTAAAAAGTAATTTAAAAATATTTAATTATCGTTATGAGATATAGCTATTATCTATATATTTTTTCATATTAATATTGTTAACTTATTTGGTTAGTATACAATAGTTTGATTTTTACAACAATGGTAACTTAACGGTATACTTGAAAATAAAAAAATGGTGAAAACATTTAGATTATAAATTTAATTTTTGAATATAAATTTTTTTTCTCGATATTGATATATTCAGATATCGGAAATAATTTTTATTTTCAATGTTGCTTAATAATATAGCTGTAATTTAGTACAATATCAATATCATAAAAGAAATCGTTGACGTACTCTATAATTATAAGAGTAATCAAATGATGATAAGAGTTGTAGTATTTGCATTTAGTTGAACAATTCCGTTCATTATAGATATTTTTGGTTTTTTTTGTGAAATTCAATCTAGTATGTTTTTTTTTTAATTTTATTTCGCTAAAAGTATAAAGATTTAAGAGTGCATTTATCATTAATTGTACATCCACATATTAGAAATAAATTGTCAACTATAATTTTTTTTAATGAATTTGAATTCTGTACATTTTTAAGGGTATATAACTTGACTAGTTACCCAACACGATTTTTTAAAACTGATTTAGTAAAATTACAAGGAACATCTAAGGCGTATTTACTAGGGTAGCATTGTTGTAGTGTAATATATTTTAGTGAGTTTGTAATGACTAAATATCAACTATGTGTATTATTTGTATAAGTTACCTCTGTTGACAATGACTCGAGTTCGACATACTGGACATGTATCATTACTTTGTAACCATGGCAATATACATACTCGACAATATGTATGTGCACATGGTAGTGCATAAATATCTTCGCTTATCGTATTCTTACAAATAGGACATTCTACAAAATATATATAACAAAATAAAAGTAAAATATTATAATGCTAATATTAGAATGTTTTAAATATTTCAATAAATGGCGTGTAACGTAAAATGTAGGAGTTCTGTTTTTTTTTGTATATTATATGACTTTATTTTAAATATTTTTAAATTCCCATTATCAACTTATTAGTCGAAGATGCTAAAAAATGGAAGTACTAACATTCAATGCTCACTTATAAATATTAATATTTATGTTAAAATTCTTTAAATGAACTTCTCCTTATAAAATATTAAATTTGATAGGAATAATCAAAAAATCAAAGAACAATTTATTAAATAGTACTCGTTATAAAATTAAATATATTTATAACTAAAAAAATTGAGTCACATTTCCATTAATTTAATCAAGTAATTAAAAATAACTTTGTTCATAAGAATATACAGTGTTATGTAAGGATACAGGTAAATTGTTATAAAAAATGAGAACAATAGAAACTCGTTACATTACTTACTGATAAGTACATTACAATGGTAATATTATGAAATTTGCCGTTATATAACTTAATCTAATTAATCTTAATATTTGAAGGATCACCAGCATCATCTACTACTAAATATAGTAGATTTGTCTTTTTTATTTTATATATTATTATTTTATTCGATTGAATTTAGGGATAACAGTTCATCAAAAATCCAAGGGAATACAAAATTATGTATGTTTAATAGATTTTAATAACGCCATGATGTTATTTATCATAAAAACTTTTCATTCTATCCAATGGCAAAATAAACTATGTAAAAGCAAATAATTTTCTTTCATTCAATTATAAAGTGCCTAAACTGAAATTAAATTTATTAAATGCAAAAATTTTATGAAAAAAACTTATTTAAGCTTTAAAAATCTGTTTCAATATAAATTTTACTTTGGTAAAAACACATGAATATATAAGACCTTATGATTAAAAATATATTTCGCTAATTGTAGTAAAGATTTATAAAATCAAACATGACATTACTATCATAACAAAATATGAAATTATTTATAATACTTATTATATTATTTGACCGAATGATTTTTAATTATTTATTTTTATTGTAAGTTCCAAAAAGTTTTAAATGTAAAGTACAACCGATTAAAGGTATATCGAAACTTTATGGATGTGTTTATGTATAAAAATAATAATTAATGTTAATTGAAGAAGCGAATAAACATAATTTATTGTTTTACAAAAAAAACTTAGTAATACACAATGTAAATCATATGTATTGAGCCGTAATATTATCTTAATGTTAGTAATTATTTGCTTACTAATTGAAGAACCAGCACCATCAACTTCAACTAAACATCGTAGATTTGTTGTTTTATTTAAAGTCGCTTAAAGTTTTAAAATTCAAGAGCATATGGAATTATTAATTGTATCCTATTATAATATTACACTCTTTTACCTTTCTTTCCTATTATTTAATTTTTGTTTATTACACAATATTATTTTTATTATCATTATTTTAAGAACTATAATTATTCAAAAATTAAACTAATTACTCACATTAACTGAATGTTAGTAATTTTAAAATAATTAATTTTACATCCATAATTATGGTTTTTATTTACTTTAATTTACTTAATGTATAGATTAAACCAAAAATCTTGTTTGAGCATTAAAAATGTTTCAAAAAAAAATTTTATTTTGATAAAAAAGCATGAACAATTATTTTGATTTTTTAATTAAAAAGTCACTTCTAAAGATGACCAAACAGTCCTGTCTTTCTGGCGAAATTAAGTATCTCTCTGGGTTTTATTGAATTAAATATAACTAAAAATAGTCGACCATCAAATGAATTTTAACGTTGGTTAAATAACTAATCCCAACTATAGACAGGATTATAATTTAAAATTATTATTTCAAATCCTTAATATTCTTTTAATATTGTTTTGTTTAGTTTTTAGTTTAAATAAGTTTGATATTCATTTAATGTATTTTGTGTATTTAAAATATTGTCATTTTTTATGCACTTCTCTAATTTACAGGGGTTGAAGAGAATTTTTTTAATTTTAAAGGCCATTTTATTATATTTCTAAATTTTTTATTTTGTTTTATATTATTAACCAGTTATGATTTGTCATTTTTTCAACGACCTATCGTTTATTAGTTCAAATAATTGTTGAAGAGTTATAGGGATCGACGATCAGAAGTAGAAAGAACTAAAGATAATATGTGCAAATGGATTTTAACCACAGACGCAGGCTGTAATTTCAGGAACGTATGTATAAAATTACAAAAGGGCACAAAAACTGTAAATTAGATTTACTACTCCTTCACCTTATGATCTTTCAACGAGTACAAGAAGTACTCGGCAAATATTATAAATTCGCTTATTCATTTTATTTAATAAATACATAATAACTCAATCATTCTCATGCTCATATAAGACCAACCAGTAAAAAATGTTTTTATTTTATTTTAATAATTGTAACACAAATATTTTAATTGTATGTTTCATTTTAAGTCATTAAAAATTCTACCAAATAATAAGAGATATCGTGGATTTTATAAGAAAACAAATGAAAGATAATGTAATTAAAATTTTTCATTTCTGGGAGAAGAAGAGG